GACTCAAACATGATTGACCAGTTTTGCCTTTGATCATCATAGAATGTGCTGTAATTGTTGGACTGGACCTGTGGGAAAGGAAATCAGCCCAGTGCTGTATGTTAAAAGATGCATTCAATTAATATAAAAATAATTTAAAAAACAGACTGTATCGGACAGAAATTTTAAATATGAGCTACTGAAATTAAACAGAGGCAAAGAAAGAAACCTGCCACGTTACCACCCAATTTCAGTATGAAGAAATCAGCCCTTATTACAGTGCTCATTATGATGGGAGAAATGGTTCAAATATTCAGTGCTTCATAGATGCTGCAGCTTTATTAAGATGGCTCTTTGAAGCTAGGTTCTGTTATACTGAGATTTTCCACTTGTAAGGATTCTCTTTTTCACAAGTGCTGATACAGCAGGACCTCCGCATGCAAACACAGAGTCTCTCAGAACTTAACACTAAATAAAACATTTCTCCACTGGTAACTACGTAACACTTCAATCTTTCAAAGCATATCTTCAAAACTTATAGAACTAGATAGCAAACTAGGATCCTGATCAGACATTTGGATTGGAATTCTGTTATTGCAGAGTAGGATTTCTAGTCATCAACCAAGAAATTCCACATCACCATAAAAACAAGCTAACAGCAAATCACAACACCCATCTTCTATAAAATCAGCAGAAAACAGCTTCCTGAGAGATCCCATTTTAGGGCTTATGATGTTTTAAGTGGCTCTTATCACAAATCGCTGAGTATCAAGACTCAGTGGAAATACTTTCCTGCCATCACTTCCATCTGCTTGCTCATTTGTGTTTTCTGAGTCACTTAACCACATTAACCACATTAGCAGGAGGAATTTTATTCTGTCACTTAAGACTTTTTACTCTGTCATTTTAGGACTGTAAAACTCAAAAACATCTGTGATCTGGAGATAAAAATACACCTCCTACAGGCATATTTTCATTATTAAAACCACTGATTTCATAGGGCTCTGCAAGAGGTAATTAAGCAGTGTCTTGTGCAGCAATTAGGAGATCAGCACTCCCTGTCGCTGTGCCATCTCTTGCTACATCAGTCACGTGTTTGAGCTAAGAAAACACTTTACAGCAAACACAGGTTCACTCCAAACAATGCAGTGTACCAGATGCTTTTCTAATCCAGCCTTACCGTGAGCACAAAGCCTGGGTGGATCCTTGCAGACGCGATCTGTTGCTGCTGACTGATGTAAAGGAGAATCCTGTACTGGATTCCATAAAGAATTGTGCAGGAGAAAAGAAAAAAAAAAAAAACCACAAACCAACAGAAACTGTTTTCAATTTGAGTGTGCTTAATTCTGAGCCTAACTCTACAGTATTACAAAATACACCTCGCAGCATCATTTTCCAAAGGAAAAATACGTAATTTTCTAACAGCTATAATGGATACATGAAAACATGCAACAGACAAAGTGGTTCAACAATAATTCTTGTGCAGTAAGCAAGATGCCTTCACTAATTCTACATTTTTCCACATAAAAAAGAGCATGCTAACCTCTCAATACAGAAAGCTCATAATGCATGATATGTAGGAATGTAAAAGACTGAGTAATAAGTTAGAAGGACTTATACAAGTGTTAAAGAATTCAAAGATAACACTGCATTGACATTTACTATGAGACATGATCTAGTAAGAAAAAATACTTTCCTTTCTGCACCTATAGCAAGGCTTCTTCACTCAGGAAGTAGTTTAACGAAGTACTTTTCCTGCTGTTGTTTTTGTCAAAGCATAAGTAACTCAGTGAGACAATATCAATCAGGGGATGGGAAACACACCAAAACCAACAACACAAACAGACTGGAGCATATAAAGTATCTTTTAAATACATCACCTCACTGGACACTACAGAGCCATGTCCTCAGATTACTCGGGAAAGAAGGTTTGGAAAGGAGAGATACCAAACCAATAGCACTTAAGGAAAGCATCTCTGCACTACTACACCGATTTGTGTTCTATACTGATTTTCACACACACATATTTGTGATCCAGCTGTCAAAAGAGGTTCCAAGTAAATCACGACATCAGATCCACATCAGAAAAGGTGCAGCACCCCAAACAACACAAAATATTTCAGTCTCAACTGAGAAGAAATCTTGCAAAGAAATTTGCAGACTGCAGAAAATAAAGATGTCATCAAGGTAAATGAGCACATAAACCAAGGAGGCAGAGAGGCATAAGCAGCAGTGGAACTAAGACCTTCAACATGCAGAGCAAAAGCATCCCCAGTGAGCTCAGAGAAACATTGTTTCATACCAGCACATCCTCAGCATGAAAAACACCATAGTGAAGTGTTTCTCACCTCTTTAGTAGCATGGCTCCCCACTACAGCTGCTCCATACTTGCCTTGCTTCAAATATTGCCCATTTGTACTGGAAGAGAAGTGAGACACTCAGCTGTGGAACTGCCCCTGCCTCAGGTATTTCCCTCTGCTGTTGCTTTTCCTCTTTAGAGTTCAGGTCCCTTTCCTCATGACCAAAAATGCCTGGGAGCACTTCTGAGTTAAAGAAACTACAACTTTCTTGCTTACCCACAGATAACAGGAGCATACATTGTGTAGTTTGAGATGGAAGTTGCACATATGCAAGGCGAGCAAGCCTTCACATGACAGCTGCAGCAAACATAGAGTTACACTGCTGTCATTCTATGTCCATGCCTCAGTTTTCCACAAGTGAAGATGAGACATAAGCTTCTGACAGAGCTGGTGAGAAACTGTGCAGATGTCAGGCCACTACACCATCATGCAGTTCCCTGCAACGCACAAACTGAGAACTTGCTGTTTACTTGGCAACTGTGCAGTCCTGAACTGTCTCAAAAAAAGTCGCTTTTTTTGAGCAGAAACTTGCAGCATGTAGACACACCTCTATAAGATGCCTCTTTCTACTTATCCAAAAATACCTCCCTTTATGATTAGTTTCAGGTCCCAGAGACACAGACTCTAAAATACAATGCAGAAAACCACTGCTGCACTTACTATCGATAAGCATGAACCGCAGTGGCCATGAAGACTGAGGGTGTTCCTGTAGCTGCTGGGGCTGCAGGTGCCTTCTGGGCTGCCTGACCTGCTGGAGAACAGAAAGCAGCACTCGGTGACACAGAACTGCCACATCTGCTGGCCAGTGAGAAGGTCATGATATATTCCTTCCACAGAACAAAATAACTTCAGCGACTGAAGGAACTGGGGAAAAGGAAGCTGAGGGGAGACCTGATTGCTCTCTTCCAATATCTGAAAGTGCTTACAGAGAGAGCGGGGTTGGTTTCTTCTCACTGGTGACAGGACGAGGGGAAATGGCCTCAAGTTGTGCCAGGGTAGGTTTAGGTTGGATATTAGGAAATACTTCTTTACTGAAAGGGGTGTTAAGCACTGCAACGGGCTGTCCAGGGAGGTGGTTGAGTCACTATCCCTATGGTTAGGTCGTGGATGGACTAGATGATCTTCACAATCTTTTCCAACCTGAGTGATTCTCCGATTCTAACTCCAGAAAAGGACTATAGAGTAATATTCCCAAGTCCCTACAGACTGCAAGAATAACCCAGGGGCAGAGAGAGTACTAGAGTAAGATAATATCAGCAAAGAAAAGCTAAGTGAATATTTGCAGTGCTGTTCCTCACAAAAGCCCTCATTGAGTCAGGATACTTGCTTCAAAGCTCCTCCTGCCACATGATCAATTCAGTCACTTACCAGCTGCTGTCTGACCCTTCTTGGGCTGCTTTGGTGCAGTGTATTGAAAGAATTCATTTCCCTGGCTTGAGACTGTCTGATCCAGTCCAAAGAGAGAGGCCAATCTTGCACTAGAAATAAAAATGAAGTAACTTTATTTCACACAGACTTCATAGATAAGGAACACCATTAACTGAAAGTCACATCACACACAAAGTGCTTACAACCATTTCAGACATAAGGTGATATCTGTTAAGCAGTTCTGTAGTTAGACATACAGTTCTGAAAAAGCAGAACAAAGAAAGAGGGCTGACAGCACAACGATGTTTCATTTCCTCAAAAGTGAGTATAAGAAGCAAAAAACACCCTGAAGCAACACCAAAAGAAAAGTTACTTTAAAGCAATGAATAAGACTACCCTCCTATTAAGCAGTGCATTGTTACATTACTGGAAAAATAACATGTGACAGCAGAGAAGTCATCATTTAGCGCTACAAATCTCAAGGAAACACATCCTCTCAACAGGGCTTAACGTTCTCCTGCCAGAAGGGCGGGCTTACTGCCGGAGGTAAACCCGCTATTGCTGAAAGACACATGAAAGTTCATAGCTTTGCTTTTTTAAGCCCATTTAAACTTTGCTACTCCGGGTAGTGGGACAGAAAAGCGCGTGGATGTCTGCAAGGACAGAACCACTGAGACAGGACCCGGAGATCTTTCAGCAATGAGCCGTTCGCTGAGTAGAGGAGCGGGAGGACACGCAAACAGCAGCACGGCTGGGAAGCACCGAGCAGCAAGCAGTTACACAACGCGAGGAACGACAAACGCGCCGCACGCTCAAACTGCTGAGCTCAGCTGCCCCGCTGCTCTGAGGGGAGGGCTGAGGGAGCCTGCCCGCTGCCCGGCCCCGAGCTCCGGGACAAGCGGGGAGCGGAACACCGAACCTCGCGGCCCGGCCCGCGGGAGGGCAGCCGCCTGCAGCCTGTCCAGCCGCCGTGCTCTCCAGCGGGGGGCACTCAGCGGCCACTCACCCGGTGGCGGGGGCCAAAAAGTCGACGTCATCCTCCTCCGCCGCGCCGAACATACCAGCAGCCCCTCAGCCCCAAGCTGTCGCAAAAGCCTCAGCCGACAGCAGCGCACTTTGCGGCCGTATGAAGACGGCTGGAGGAAAGGAGGACTGGGGGCAGAGCTTAGATGGCACATCCGGGGGATGGAGTTCAGATTACACATCCTGGGCGAGGATTAGGGGACAAGGTCAAGAGGGCGTGGCTTAGCGTCACGTCCGGGGCGGGGCCTAGCGGCCATGTTCAAGGGGCGGGGCTTGGGGGGGAACGACTCCGGGGGCGGGGTTAGTGGACAGCCTCGTGGCAGTCTCGAGGTGAGTGACAGCGCGGGACCGTTTCGCGCCCTTTCTTCCCCCCCTCAGAGCTCCCCTGTTTGAGGGGATGGTGGGGTTTTACTGCTGGCGCCTGGCAGAGCCTGCGCAACCGCGGGGCTTCGGAGCGGAGGGGGCTCACTGAGGGCTGCGGGCAGGGAGGCGGGGGTAGGGATTGAGCGGAGCGACAGTGCGCAGCCCCGTATGGCGTTTGGGTGACCCGTCGCTTTGTCAGAGCAGAGAGTGGATGTTTTGGAGTGAAACTCGCAAAGGGACAAACCCACGTTTCTGTTGAAAAGAAGCATCGCTGGCGGCAGGAGCTCCCTCAGCAGATGTGGTTCTGTGGAGAGGGGGTTTGTGCCCTTGCCCCTCGTTTCTGTCCTCTTGGCAGGGTGCGTTTAATCCAGCTCTAGGAAATGACACGCAGCCACAGCTTTCTGTCATGTGCGCTAAAATCTGTTAAACCTTTTCTTCCTCTGCTCCTTCCCACAATGGAAAAAAAAACAACAAAAAAAAAAACCAGTCGAAATCGAAGTAATAAAATAATGCTAGAAGAGTTAAGATTTTTGAGTCACTTCTGCTTTAAGGTGAAGTTCCTGCCAGCAGTTCTGCGGTGCAGGGGCAGGAAGGGGTTGGGAGGAGTTTTTTTCCGTTCTCACTTTCTCTGCTTGCAGAACAGCTTCACGTTTTGGATTATTGGGACACTCTTTTTCTGAACAAAAGCTTCATGCCCGGGAAGGGAAGCTGCTGAGAATACTAATCTTTAACAGTCCTCTGGTGTAAATGAAAGAGAAGAACAGCCATGTTCACACAGTTTTTAGTCAGTGCCCTAAGGAGCTTTCTTTCAGCTCTCTTGCTTACCAGTCAATGTTGGGTCAGAGAGGAGACAAAACAGATATATTTTGAAAGAAATATAATGCATTCTTCTCTCCTTTTTGACTTCTGTATTTGCTGCCAAGACTCTGCTGCCCAGCAGGAAGGTGTCATGTCTGCAGGTTTCCAACCTAAGCCGTTCCATGATTCCTGCCTTCTCCACGCCTGTCTGAAGGTCACCCTGTCAGGTAGCCGTAAATTGCGTCAGAGTTGTGAAGTTGAGCTGAAGCAGACTAGTGTGAGCTCCTCCAGAGATCTGTCAAGAAATCATTTGCAATCTTAGCAATTTTTCCTTAGAGAAAAAGACTCAATCTAGTTTTTTTTTGTTTTGTTTTTTCCTCCTAAAAGAGCCAGCATTAGTAGTCTACTCCGCTGCCTTTTGCTTCAGTCTTATTTTCTTAAATATCCCCAATCAAATCCTAGGGTACTTGAGACCAATGATTTTTTCATTAACCTTTTCTTTGGCTAAAGGCCAGAATCCTGTAATGCGAAGAATAATGAAAGTAGTTATTGTAAACTAATTAACCTTCTGTTTTGTTGCACTGCAGATTAACTTTCCAAAACCTTTCATTTCTTTTTATTCTGGAAGTTGCCTTTTCTGTTCTGGAAGCCAATCTAGAGGGGGAGGCTGTGATTAAATCTCTCTCTTGTCTTTCCTCTCTGTTCCTACAGACTCAGATGTAGGTTTCTTCCCACCAGTTCACATCTGTGAGAATGCTGTCCCCTGAGCAGCTGTGACTGCTAGTTAGAGTGATTGCTTATTTTGAAAATATGTTGAAATTTTTTTCTTGCACTTCCGCTTTGCATGCCTATAACATTACAAAATCCCACAGTCTTTTTTTTTTCTTATGTCACAGATGTGAAAGTCATTTTTAAGCTGTTTAAAAAGCTCTGTGTGAATGCAGAGTTTGTTCTGACTCTTGTCTACGTTAATATGGAAGTGATAGTTCTGGGTCACAGGCCAAAATGAGCAAGTGACTGAGATCTAATGTCCTTAGTGGATGCTCAGCAAATCCTGATATCAGGCCTGAGAAGATGGGAGAAAAAGGATGTAACTGTTCTACAGCTGGCATTGAATGCACCAAGTGCTCTCCCATGAACCCTGGGAGAACTGCATGGCATTACAGAGCCTTCTTTTCCTGTGCATGCTTGTCAGTTATCAAAGATTCAAATATCTTTCCTCTGATCAAGATTTATGAGCTTGGAAAATGACCTTAACAATACCTTTAGCTGATCTTTTGGGTAAGAGAAGGCCTGACAGTCTTAGCTTTTTTTCTTTTTTGAAGACTTAATGCATCTCCTCTTGGGGGAGAGAGTGTGTATAGTAAATACGCTTCCAGGCTTTTCTTCAGATTATAGATAATTTAACTGGACTTGGATTTGTGGGATTATAAAATACTTTCAGGCCACCTCAGTGATGCAGCGCGCTTCCTCACAGTACAAGCTGATGCTTGTCAGCCTGCCAGCTAGCTTGCTGCTCTGGGAGCACGGGGAAGCAGCTGTCTGGAAGGCAGAGCCACGTGGTGGAAGGCTTCAGCCTTATGTGGAGTACTTGTCCCTATGACCCAGACTGCTTCTCATCTGCTGTTGATGAGCTTGGTGTGGGACAACCTGAGCAGCTTTTCGCTGTCTTGGTGTGTGCTGAGTGCCTGGCCTCAGCGCACAGCACAGCATGGCTGTGCAGCTCCTGGCTGGGTTCCTGCATATTGTGTTTGGATAGAGGCAGTGCTGAGAGCCAGGGATCTGATTAAGCAGTTCATACCTCACCTAATCTTTTCCTGCTCTGAAAGTCTTCGTACTATAGAGATTTGACAACATATTGTCACAGCCAGCTTGCATTTTCAAACTTGCGTCCTTTACTTGGGAAAGGAAAACACTAACAAATGGAGAGCAGGCTGAAAGCCCAGCAGGCGGATGATCCCGGCTCATTCTCCTCCAGCCCTCAGGAAGCAAAGCAGCAGCACTGACATGCAGTGCTCCATGGGAGGGCAACAAGATACCCTTTGTGTTTCCAGTGTGGTAAGCCAACCCTTGGACATCAAAGTGATAAGGGAAGAAGCAGTGCAGGCTCCTGAGGAACACGCCCAGCCATAGGATATTATGGAAGTAAAATTTGCCTTAAGCATTGTTCTGTTTTTTTTTCTGTTTTATGGTCCCCTTGTTTGTCTGCACTCCTGACTGAATGAACTTGACAAGAGACTGAGTCATGCTTTCCATGTTCTCTGCCTGCAGAGTTTTATGCAAATCAAGTTACCACCATGAACCTGGCATAAGGCATTATCTCACAAGGAAGTACTGAATTGTTGTAGTGTTTAAGGTGATGTCAGGTGAGACTGGAGGATACTGGAGAAATGTTACAGAAAGTGACAAATCGAAGCCTAAACAAGTTAAAGGAAAGAGAGTTCCTGATGTTGGTTGTATTTGTGAAGCCAGTGTTGTACTACCTTCATCGTGCAGGGCATGAACATCCTTGGTTATAAAATACCCTGCTATACACATAATAAAGGCTAAGACTTTTTTTTAGTGATAAGCAGAACAGTCAGAATACACAATGGCTCAAAAGCATCTTTTGGCAGTCTTGTGACTATTCTTAGTTTGCTGAATTAAGTAAAACTCTCCAGTACATCACGAGAGTAGGATCATGTGTGCTGCATACCACCGGATTCCTTTTCATGCAGTGCTTGAATTTGATCTTACTTGAAGCCAATGTCCCTGCATTAAAAGCATCTGTACTGCAGAGCACAGTACTGCTAGACTTAGTGGAACTTTTTCACATTATTACTTTCATATCAATTGCAGAGAAGCTGAAGAGTCAGGATTTGACTGAAACACGTCATTGAATATTCTCTGAATATTGTAATCTTTTACCACCCCACCACATCCCTGAAAATTGACCTGCTGTTCTGAAAACTTCACATTTCTTCAGAGTGGGGTCAGTATGAAATGAAATGAAATGAAATGAAATGAAATGAAATGAAATGAAAT